ACCCTCTCTTTCTCCCTCCCTTACCCTCTCTCTAAAATTAAATAAATAAAGTTAAAAAAGTAAACCCACTAAGTTTATTTTACGTTCATATATTTCTGAAGTGATTTATAACCTGACATTATCTCCCACTCTGGCCATGTTTAATTACTTTGAAACATGATTTCACAATTCTTAAGGTTTATATAAATATAAAAGCTTACTTTTTCAGATGGGTAAATCAGGCTTCTGGAGACAACAGGAAGCAAGAGTATCTTTTGCTTACATTAGACAATCGGAAAAGAAACCCAAGAAGAAATCTATCATTTGTGGAAGAGAAAAGAGCACAGTTAATTTTAACCATAGTTGAGTCCATCCACCATAGTTGTTGACCGGTAGCTAAGCAGGACTCTCTTTTCATTCATTAGCCCCTTGCCCCCACATTTATCTTCCTTAGCAGCACAGATCAAGATATTTCATAACATAGAATCCAGATAAAGTATTTGGGGTTCAAGTGACTTGATTTATGATCTCTACTTTTTATTAAAACAAATTCACTTTCAAAGGGAGTCGTATTTTTAGTTTCACATTTTCCTTCCTCAAAGAGAAGCTTATACTGTTTTTCCCATGTTACGTCAAACACATTTTTTTTTCAAATTTTTTAAATTAAGATTACTCTTAATGATTGGGAATAAAGAAGAGTGTCCATATCTCCTCAACTGGTTAAACAAAATGACTTAGTTCAGGTAAAATGTCATGGGTTGATCCCTTAAAGGAAAAATATAATGCTACATTATTACCTTATAGAATTCTCAAGCCTATAAGAGAAGAGAGAAATAGAAGCAGAGAGAAATAAACAAAAAGATTATACATCTAAGCATAGGAAAGCCTACTCAGGTCCAGAATGAACTGAAGACTTTTTCTTTGGTTAGAGGAACTACTAGATCAGGGGTGTCAAATTCATTTTCACTGGGAGCCAAATCAGCCTTGAGGTTGCCTTCAAAGGGCTGAATGTAATTTTAGGACTGTATAAATGTAACTACTCCTTAACTAGGGGCAAGGAGCCCGGCGCTGCAGCTGGGTAGAAACAAGGTGCTGGGCCAGATAAAACAAGGTGGAGGGTGGGATTTGTTCCGCGGGCCTTGTGTTTGCCACCTGTATAGTAGATATTGGCATGGGATTTTTTGGAACAGGCCATATGCTACCTGTCATTAATTCCTTGAACAAAGTAAGTTTTTCTACTTTGACTATTTGGAAAAGTAAAACAAACAAAAAGCACAAACAACAACAACAACCAAGTAATCACCATTTTTATGTTATTTTGGGAGTAGGAAGGACTTCCATATTTGAATGTTGCATTTTCAAGAGAATATATCTGTATTTTATCGTTGCTAATGCAACCAGTGAGAAGACCTCCTGTATATACTCAGAAACTCAGTAAGTTAGGATTGTTGATCTTATAAGGCTAGATGGGACCTTTGAACTAGTTGTCTTTTTTCACCTGTTATACACAAGTGAGAAATCTGATGTGGCTTGTCATTGGTTACCTGGGGGTTGAAGAAAAGCTATTGGTGAATATTTTTGATTTTTAGTGATATTCTTTTTGGCTTTTTTCTGCTTACGATAAAAAATTAAGTAGTTAAACTTGTATATTCAATCAAAGAAGGTCAGTATCTGGTTTTTCATGTTTCAGAAATATGGGGTATGTAGTAATACTGTTCTCTACATATTTCTGGCTTTCTGCCTTCCATATTGTGTTTCCTAACCCTCATGTAGTTGGATGGCACCACATGACCATTTTTAACCAATACATTTTGAGCAGAATTGTGTGTCATTTCTGAGGAAGAATGATTAATCCTTGATCTTAGACCCTCTGGGGATCTGTGCAAGGTACTCCATCGGCCTGTGTCCCTGAACCATAATGATATGCAGCGCCCCCTGCTGAACTGGAATAGTCATAGCATGAGAAAGAAAAACCTTTTTGTTTTGAGCCACTGAGGTTTGCGGCTTATCTGTAACCTCAGTTTAAGAACCTACTAACAAGGTGTTTTCTTCTAAGCAAGAAAATGTTTCTAATTTAGGCTGTAGCATTGAAGGGAAAAGAAGAATTTAGATAACACATATGACAATTTAGGGCAAAAAAAATGATATGAATTTTTTTGCTTATTGACAGACTGGGAGTATCTTTGGGGGGAATGTTTCTGTATCATTATCTTTACCCTCCATTTTGGTGATTTTTTACCAACCGTGGTAGCAAACTATGCATGGAATGACTGCTGTGACCAATGTCAACATTTTTGGAACTATTGTCATTTTAAATTACAACCGAGATTCTGTAAATTAAACTGGGAATCAGAGAATCAGGGTTGCAGTTTGCATGTTGCCACTGCATGACCTTCATGCTGTCTGAATCTCAGGACACGCATCTATAAATAGGTGTTGAAACAAATCATCTTGAATATCTTTCTAGTTCTGTCGATCTGTAATTCCAGGAAATCAGAGCAACATACTGCTAGCTATTTTGGGCTGGGAATCTTAAACACAGTTTTAAAATATAAGAACCAGATTGAAGTATATCTTGATATAACAGTTCAAAGAATAAATGACACGTAAGTCATCTAAAACTTGAACTGTTCTCAAACATGATATATTATACTTTCAGAGTGCTGTTTCGTTTGTAAGTGCTATCCATGATTTAAAAATATTTTCCAGGTTATCTGATATTTAAGTGTATTTTTCTTGTACTTAAGATTTTTTTTTACTCTGCTATTCTGAAAAAGTTTCCCAAGGGTGGGGTGGAACTGTGTTGTTCTATTTAACTTGCTTTTTCAATCTCTCCAATTTCTTGCAGAGATGAGGATGCCAAGATTTTTAACACTTTTTCATGAGATTTATCAGCTTTATCTACATTTGCCATATCCTTCCTGAGTTCTAAGGAAAGAGGGATTGAGCAAAAAAGAAAAAAAGAAAAAATACTGTGCAGGGTGGGGTGGATACTGATGGAAGGAGACTTGACTTGGGGTGGTGAACACACAATACAGTGTACTACTGATGATGTGCTGTGGAATTGTGCACTTGAAATCTGTATAATTTCGTTAAACATTGTCATCCCAATAAATTTAATAAAAAGGAAGAAAAGACCTTGGGAAAGTATTGTCAGGCTCAGCATTGCCCTCTCCTTTTGGTGGAAGGGCAAGCAAGGGTGGCTGCACTTAAAGCTTCAGCTATCAAATCCTTAGAATGGTTTGTCTGCAGTCAGTTGGGATGGGAGGCTCAAGTTACAAAGTCTTTAGGATCAATTGTCCTGTGCCCATTTAATGGTGGATGCAGTGTCACTGGTTTCTTGCTCTGGCTTTTGACCTCTGCTTTCTCAGAGCCAAAAGTAAGCTGTTCACAGAGCTGTAGTGTCTCCCTGGGAAGTGCCCACTAAAGGTATATTAATATTATTGCTATCCTAATGGATCAGTAAAGTAAGTAAGTGATTTATGAAAGCCAGTTTAATTGTTTGCTTTTATGCAGATGTTCAGAATTGTTCATTTTCACTTATTATTTTTGTATTGCAGTTTAATATAGTTAGTATTGTAGCATGTATTCTTATATCTTAGAACTATATTAATGATGGAGAATGTTGCCCATAATGGTTGCCATTCTTATTGGTTGTAAACTCTACATCCAAGAGTCAGAAACTGCCTAAAAATACAAGCTAATGGCACTGGAGCTGGCAGCACCTTGTGTTAATTCAGTGGCAAGTAAAATGCTTTTTACATAAAACTTGATTTTTTAGAAAGCAGACATGTGACATTTTGAGTACTGTTGCTTATTTTGCATTCCTAAAACATTTTCTGCTTTCATCTGAATCTTAAATTTAAAGACAGTTTTTGTGCATTGACCCAAGGAAATGAAAATAACACAAATACAAACATTACTCAGTTCCAAGAATTTTTAGAGCTTCAAGTCCTGTGTACAAAAGCACCATTCAGTGTTTCAAAAAGCTGGAAGAGGGTGATCTTAGCAGCACAATCTTATCATCTTCTACCAGTCATCTTACCTGAACTTAAATGTAGGCTACTCGTGGTGGAGTGCAGTGTTAGAAAAGGCGACATGGTGACTCCAGATGTCAGTTAACTCTGAAGAATGCATAAGCCCCCCAGGCTGAGGTAATGCACTGTAAGCTTTCTGTATATTTGTGAGCCACAGTCTTGGGGTCTCTGGATAGGTATGAGAGGTATGCAGAGTGAGGTATTTTATTGAGTCCTCTATGCCACCAGGCTCACAGCACTCAAATGAGCTAAGCCAGATTCCACATGTCACAACTTGGGTGGCTTAATTGGTGAGGAGTGTGAAATGAATGGAATGCAGTCACACAGAGGATGTCCTGAAATGTGTTCAGATTTTATGATTTGAGAGTGATGTGCATTTTACATGATTCTTTTCAGTGGAACAGTTGCTATTTTAGATATCCTTTCTTAACCTTTAATGTAATTTTACTAACCAGTGTCACCCCAATAAATTCAATTAAAAAGATAAAAAAAAGAAAAAAAGGAAAGAGAGCAGGTTCAGCTCCAACAGTGGATGTCTGTTCCCCATGGCCAGTGGATGCAATTGGCCTTTACATGCACTCTACTTGTTATACAGCAGAAGGACCCTAGTCCCTTTCTCTTAGAGTCTGAAGTGCAGAAATCTGGGGTGTGCCTGAGGCCTATTGACACACACTTCAGCAGAACGAAGGAGGACACACAGAGCCTGAAACAGGGATGAAACAGGGAAGGATATTCCCACACAAGGTGATAAGTCCTGCGTAGGCTGTGCAGCCTCTTCATTTCTTGGAAAGGAAGTTCCAGGCCCATTCTTGTGGTGAGCAGAGGTTGAAAAACTGTGCCCATGAGATTGCTTTTCCCCTCCACATGCCATGAAGAATTTCCTGACTTCTAGATTATGTATGTTGTTCCTGTCCTTGTTTCTGCTTCTAGGTCTTTTAATTTTTTTAAACCTCACCTGAGAATATATATATCCATTGATTTTAGAGAGAGAGGAAGGAAGAAAGAAACATTGACCTGAGAGAGAACACTGATCCACCAATTGGTCACCTCCTGTACGCTGCCCAACCAGAGATTGAACCCTCAACCAGGTATGTGTCCTGGCCAGGGATTGAACATGCGGCCTTTTGGTACACAAGATGACGCTCCAAACAACTGAGTCACCCAGCCAGGGCTGCTTCTAGGTCTTTGTGCTTAAATATAGTTGTGTCTTTGACAAAACAAAGCAAAATAAAAACAAGTAGTGTTGTTTGCTTGATCTGTTATCATGGGCATTTCTCCAGGTCTAGTGGATAATATATTGAGAAAATCCTAATAATTACATTACTCTGTGCTTTCATGTAAAAGCCCCATAAGATTCCTCTTAGCTAAGCAACTGTTCACAAAAGCTATATTCTTACATACTTGACATTTGAAGTAAGTGCAGATTTTTTTCATTTGCACTTGAGAGATTTCACAACACACTTAAGTAACTGTACTTACATACCCTAAGGGGATGTTGACAAGAATGGGTTTGACATTTGGAAAAAAAAATCTTGAGCACATCAAATTAAAAGCAAATTAAAGAGCAAGGAGGCACTAATTGTTGCATAAATGTTCTGTTAACCTGTCTCTTTTGAGTTCTGAGGGCAAGAGTATGCCATTTCTCCCTGGGTAGTATTGGGTACCCAGCTTGCATCAGCTGCTGCTGCTAAGGGTCAGTTATGTGGGACCTCTCACCCCTTTCCACTTTCAGAACAAGAATAGAACTCATTGTAGCATGAGGATACAGTGCATTCCAAAATATATTTATTCTGAAGCAGTAATCTCTTCCATATCCAGTATAGCAACCAAGGACATATTTTTTGTCACTTAGAATTTTTTTGACATTGGATTTGAAACTAATGTGCTGAAAAAAAAATAGTACAAATAATCCTTTGGTATATAGTTCTATGTATTGGTTTAATATTATTTCAAACCCACTTGTTTATGACTTAAGTTGTTTTAATTCACTTATTTAGGAAAAAATTGTGTTGATATAAGTATAAAGTAGGATGTTATCATTCTACCTCTGCTATTGTTGATAAGCAGTCAGCAGCATATTGATAGAGAACAGGTGGAGAAGCAGCTATGGCAGGGGGATATTTAGATTACAAATATTGAGAGTTTGAGGACTATTGGAAAGTTTTGGTTTGGGTGAGGTGACTACTAATCTAAAAACTCTCTGGATACCCTTGGAACATTTGCTCCTGTGTTGGCAAGACAGTCCTTGTAGACAGTGGTGACAAACCACACAGTGGCCCTGTGAAAGAGATCAGACCTCCTATCAACATTAGAGTTAATGTTCCCTAGCAACATGCTCTAGCAACAAGGGACTTTTACTTCTGCCATGGCAGTTGGAAATCAGCTCTTGGTAATGATTGATTTCTCCTGAGTACCTGCTTGGGTAAAAGGTATTAAATTTGGACCTTATTTCTCTCATCTCCTCTTGCCTGAAACAATAGTGTGATTAATATGTCATTTATTTGGAGTATATTATTTCTTTTTAAAATATAGTTTATTGATTATGCTATTACAGTTGTCCCATTGATTCCTCCCCTTTTTTCTCCTCGCCCTGCACCCTTCCTCCCACCAGCATCCCCCTCCTTAGTTCATGTTCATAGGTCATACATATAAGTTATTTGGCTTCTCCATTTCCTATACTATTCCTAACCTCCCCCTGTCTATTTTGTACCTACTATTTATGCTTCTCACTCACTATTCCCTTTCTCTCTTTCTCCCCCCTCCTTGGTGATAATCCTCCATGTGATCTCCATTTCTGTGGTTCCGTTCCTTCTCCAGTTGTTTGCTTAGTTTGTTTTTGTTTTTGCTTTTATAGGTTTCGTTGTTGATAGTTGTGACTTTGTTGTCATTTTACTGTTCATAGTTTTGATCATCTTTTTCTTAGATAAGTCCCTTTAACATTTCATATAATAAGGGCTTGGTGTTGATGAACTCTTTTATCTTGACGTTATTTGGGAAGCACTTTATTTGCCTTTTCATTCTAAATGATAAATTTGCTGGATAGAGTAAACTTGGCTGTAGGTCCTTGTCTTCATGAATTTGAATACTTCTTTCCAGACCCTTTTTGCCTGCAAAGTTTCATTTGAGAAATCAGCCAAGAGTCTTATGGGAACTCCTTTGAGGTAACTATCTCCTTTTCTCTTGCTGCTTTTAAGATTCTCTCCTTATCTTTAATTTTGGGTAACTTAATTATGATGTGCCTTGCTATGTGCTTTCTTGGGTCCAACTTCTTTGGGACTCTTTGAGTTTCCTGGACTTCCTGGAAGTCTGTTTCCTGTGCCAAATTGGGGAAGTTCTCCTTCATTATTTGTTCAAGTAAGTTTTCTATTTCTTGCTCTTCCTTGTCTCCTTCTGACACCCCTATGATTCAGATGTTGGAATGTTTAAAGTTATCCTGGAGTTTCCTATGCCTCTCCTCATATTTTTGAATTCTTGTTTCTTCATTCTGTTCTGGTTGAATGTTTATTGATTTTTTCTGGTCCAAATCATTGATTTGAGTCCAGTTTCCTTCCCTTCACTGTTGGTTCCCTGTGTATTTTGCTTTATTTCACTTTGCACATATATTTTATACAGCCTTCACTTCTTCCTCTATTTTATGACCATACTCGGCCATTTCTGTGAGCATCCTGATTGTCAGTGTTTTGAACTGTGCATCTGATAGGTTGGCTATCTCTTCATCACTTAGTTCTGTTTTGGGGGCTTTGATCTGTTCTTTCATTTGGGCCATATTTTTTTTTTTTTTGTCTCATGTGGTATTGGTGGTATAGAGATGAGCATAGCTGCCTTCTATATTTTTTTTGTCTCAGCACACCTGTTATGTAGTAAGGGGCAGAGCCTTAGGTATTTGCTAGGGTGGGACAACCCAGGTCCCTGTGTTGTGACACTGTGTGTGGGGGAGGGGCCCAAACAGGAAAGGAGGAGCTCTGTGGCTTGCTTGGCTCTGGGCTGGCTTTCAGTCATTCCCCTGCTACCCACAAGCAAATTGGGCCCTTCTGGTGCTGATTCTCGGGTGTGTGGGCTTATGTACGTTCTAAGACCCTGTGGGTCTCTCCAGTGAACTCTCCTATGAGGCTGAAAGTTTCTCCCGCTACCTCAATTCCCACAGATTTTTACAGCCAGAGATTTTGAGGCTTTATTTTCCTGTGCTGGAACCTGGGTTGTGCAGTCCATCTTGCTACCCAGTTGTTTTTCCCAGTTTATTTGCACGCAAATGTGGGATTGCCTGGTCCGCCAGCTGCCACCTTGACCACCCAGTCCTCCAGCTGCTGCCTTGCCACATGTTCTCTCTGCTCCTCCTAACAGTCTGGATGAATGTTTCTTCCTTAACTCCTTGGGTTTTGGACTTCCACACAGTTCAATTTTGTGGTAGTTCTGATTATTTTTTGTTTTTAAATTTGTTGTTTTTCTTTTGGTTGTGCAAAGAAGCAAAATGTATCTACCTATGCCTCTATCTTGGCTGGAAGTCTCTGGAGTATGTTATTTCTTTATTTGACTTAGAAAGAGACACTATCTTCTATGCTACTGGCCTGCGAAGTTATTATGATTTCCACCATGAACCTCTGCTACATAAATTGATGGCAAAGACACACTCAGTTTTTGAGTATAACTTTTGTTGTCTCATCCTCCCCCCCCAAAAACATAAATACAAACATTTTAAAAATGAACTCCATGAAACCATTCTTATACTATATTGGCATTGTGTTGTGCTAACTTTTACTTAAAATAAGAAAACCAGTTTTAGATTGTATATTCCGGCAGTGGCGTTTGCTGTATGGCATTGGGTGTGCAGCCACATCTAACTCTAAGTCAAATCATAAACTTGGAAGAGCTTGCATTTCTTTCCTGCCTCCCTCCCTCCCTCCCTCCCTTCCTCTTTTTTTGCCTTTAAAATTTCTCTTTGGCTCAGAAGCTCTCATCTGCATTCCAATAAACCCCCAGTATTGGATTGAGTCCCTCCTTAACCTCAGTAAAGGATCTAATCTTCAGCAGGAACATAAAACTAATACACAGGTATCATACAAAGGCATAATTAACCAATAATAATGAGCAGAAACAGGAAACCTCTAACTTTGATGCCCCTGGAATGACTACATCTAGCTATAGGGACATTTTTTTATTTGTGCCTGCTGTACTCTGAGCCTGAAGTACTGTGTCCAAGCCTGGCTTAACCACTATCTTAGCCCTCTGTTTTTCTCAGCTTCATTTATATCTGTTACTTGAGAACTGCAATGATTCATTCTATGAGATGGTGTGTAGAAGCAGTCAGTAAAACATGAAGCACTTTGTAAGTGGTCTTTAAAAAATTGCTTTAAAATCATGTAAAGATTAGCCTCAGCAATCTTGAGAAAGCAGAACAAAGTAGGAGGGATCATAGTACCTGATAACAAACTATATTATAAGGCCACTGTTATCAAAACAGTGTGGTACTGGCATAAGAATAGACAAATAGATCTATGGAACAAAATAGAGAGCCCAGAAATAAACCCATGTCTCTGTGGTCAAAATATTTGACAGAGGGGGCAAGAACATATAATGGAATAAAAATAACCTCTTTGCTACATGGTATTGGGAAATCTGGACAGACGGGTACATGCAAAAAAATGAAACTAGACCACCAATTTATACCATACACCAGAATAAACTCAAGACGGATAAAAGACAAACATAACCATTACACCATAAAAGTCCTAGAGGAAAACATAGTAAAATTTCAGATATCCCATGTAGCAATATTTTCACCAATATATCTCCCAGGGCAAGGGAAATAAAGGAAAGAATAAACAAATAGGACTACATCAAACTAAAAAGCTTCTGCACAGCTAAAGGAAACATTAAAATGAAAAAGGAAACCAACTCTATGGGAAAACATTTGACAGTGATACCTCAGACAAAGGTTTGATCTCTAAAATATATGAAGAACTCATATGACTCAACACCAGGTAGACAAACAATCCAATTTAAAAAATGGGCAAAGGACCTGAACAGACACTTTACCAAAAAAGACATACAGAGGGCCCATAGACATATGAAAGGATGCTCAGCATCACTAGTCATCAGGGAGATGCAAATTAAAACCACAATGAGATACCACCTCACACCAGTCAGAATGGCCATCATTAACAACTCAAAAAACAAGTGCTGGCGAGGATGTGGAGTAAAGGGAACCATAGTGCAGTGTTACTGGGAATGCAGACTGGTGCAGTCACTGTGGAAAACAGTATAGAATTTCATCAAAAAACTACAAATGGAACTGTCTTTTGATGCAGCAGTTCCACTGCTGGGATTATACTCTAACAATCCTAAAACACCAATTCAAAAGAACCTATGCACACCTATGTTCATGAAACCATTGTTTACAATAGCCAAGTGCTAGAAACAGCTTAAGTGCCCATCAGTAAATGAGTGGATCAAAAATACTGTGGTACATTTACACAATGGAATACTATGCTGCAGAGAGAATGAAGGAACTCCTACCTTTGTGACAACATGTATAGAACTGGAGAATATTATGCTAAGTGAAATAAAGAAGGGGGCAAAAGATCTCACCTATAAGAGGAAGCTAATGAACAACAAGAAAAAATGAGTAAAATAGAAACAGAGGCATGGAAACAAGGAACAGACTGACAGTGACCTGAGGGGAGGGGGAGGGGGGAGAAGGGAAGAAAGAAGGGGAAGGGTTTAGTAAGGGAACATGTATAAATGACCCATGGAAACATGGCTTATGTGACTCAGTGGACTGAGCACTGGCCTGTGAATTGAAAGATTGCTGGTTTGATTCCCCTTCAGGCCACATGCCTGGGTAGTTGGCCAGGTCCCCAGTTGGGGGTGTGTGAGAGGCAACTGATCGGTGTTTTTCTCCCTCTCTTTCTCCCCTCATTCTCCCCTTTCTAAAAATTACTAAATAAAATCTTAAAAAAAAACAACAAATGAGCCATGGACATGGACAACAGAGTCGGATTTACGGTGGGAATGGAGGTGAGGTGGGCGGGGCAATGGAGAGCAACTGGGGAAAAATTGGAACAACTGTAATAGAACAACAATAAAATAAATTAAAAAAATAAAATCATGCAAAGAATCCTAAATGGGAAGTAATGAATTCTAATCTTTGAGACATTTTAATTGTGCCGGACCTGTTTTCTTTGTCATGAAAACCTGCAGGTTGAATCCTTTGTCTCTAAAGTCCTTTTGAATTGCAGGCATTTGACAATTCCATGAAATAAAGTAATTTGCAGAGAAAACATGGTGACACCTAGGACCAGGAACACACAAGGTGTCATGAGTTTGAAGTAGGAGGTAAGTAGAGGAATAAAGGAGATGGTAGTTATGGGGATTGGGCTTAATTCCTCAGAGGGCTGCAGATAGCTTGTACAACAAGAGCAGGTGGGGTCCGTGTAGCAGGACCTCTGGAGAGTGGGGCATTGGTTTGGAGGGATTAATGGGTTTGGGGTGAAGGTTGCAGGGATGTCTGGGGGCAGAGTGAGCAGCTAAAAACTTCTTATGACTTTTGTGGGGCAGTGTTGCCAGGTGGGTAGGATCTAAGGCTGCAGGGATGGGGGGTTGGCAAACGCAGGGGTGAAAGTGGCAGAAGTACTACTATTAGTACAACAAAACCCAGCTCTTCTTTTCCACTTAATCTACTGGGCAGTAAGAGTGATCAACTTGAAATGTAAATCACATGACCTCTTCCCAGCTTAAAATTCTTTAAGGGCTTCCATTATGTTGAGATTAAAATACAAGTTCCTTATTTCGGCTTTGGAATTGGCACATGCTTATCTCTCTAACCACCCTCTTCTCTCCCCTCTTCCCATCTACACCCCATCCTGCCTCTTTCTGACTTCCAGCCCCAGGAGTCAGCTTGAAGTCATCAAGGTTCCCTGCATCAGGGCCTTAGCACATGCTGTTTCCTCACCCTTCCCATAGGGTTGGCTTCGATTCTTTGGGAGCTTAGTTTAAGTATTTCTTCAGACAGGCTTTCTCTGACCACTCTGTGCACAGTACTGTCTGTCCCTTGTTTAAGCCCTTTATTTATTTCCATAACAACAGCCACAAGCTATAATTGTGCCTTAGCATGGTGTCTGACTAAAGACTTGTCAAATGATTAAATGAAGGAATGAGTTTACATTCTTTTTCTTCTTTTCTCTCTTTTCTTTTTGTATTTTTTCTTTTTTCCTCAATTTTTCAAAGTCAAACAGCTTATACAGTTTTCTTTCGTTATAAAAGTATATATCCATGTCAAAAATTAATACTTCAGTATGTAGGAAGGAAATGAAAAATCACTGAAATTCCATCATCCAGAGAAAACCAGAGCTAACATTTTGTTGTATATACTTAAAAATCTTTTTCCTAATTTTATTTTTTATTTTAAAGATTTTATTGGCTTAAAAAATATTATCATGCCCTGACTAGTGTGGCTTTATGGGTTGGGCATTGTCCCACAAAGCAAAAGGTTGCCAGTTCAATTCCCGGTCAGGGCACATGCCTGGGTTGTGGGCCAGCTCCTTGGTTGGGGATGTGCGAGAGGCAACCAATGGATGTTTCTCTCGCATATTGATGCTTTTCTCCCTCTCTTTCCCCCTCTCTCTGAAAATAAATAATAAAATATTCAAAAATATATATTATTAATTATATTCCCTATCCTGTACTTTACACCCACTTAACTATTCTGTAATTACCAATTTGTACTTCTTAATTACTTTAGTTTTGGTACCCAGCTGCCTAAATGCCCTCTCCTCTGAGAACTGTCAACATGTTGTCTGTATCTATGAGTTCATTTATTTTGTTTTTTAGATTTCACAGATAAGTAAAATAATCTGTTATTTTTTTCTGTCTGACAGTACCCTCTAGGTCCATCCATGTTGTTGCAGATGGCATGATTTAATTATTTTTTATGGCTGAGTCATATTCTATTGTATATATGCACCACTTCTTTATGCACAAAATCTTGTTCTTAATTTTAAAAAGCAATTGAGGTCAATATCCCCGTCGCCCCCAATTTAACAAAGCCAAGGTATTTTCCTTTTAAAAGGCCATTAATTAGTTGAATCTGTGCATCCCCTCCCAGAAACCTTTTCCTCCCATTGACATTGGTGCTATTCTTCTCTGCCTAGGAGTTAGTCTGATCCTTCCTTTTTCAGGCATAATCTGGTGTTTATCTTTGGTAAAAAAAGTAACTGTTATTCTTGTCTTTCACTGCCAGCATTGCCGACTGGGCATTTAAATGCCTTTGATTGTGTATTTGTAGAAGCTAACAGCTGCATATGCTATTTCCAATAGTCTTTAATATCTACCCAGGATGTGACCATGGAATGCTTGTCATTTTTTTTGGATGGGGGGATAGATATAAAATTGGTGAGTAATATACAAAGATGAAAACTGGGTGAAACACTCTTCAACAGATTATAGGCTTGCCATCCACTATCTAGAGAAAACTACTTTCCTTTGAGCAGCTCTTGGAATGCTCATGTGCCTAAATTTGGAGACCCTCAGATGGCCACTGCTTTGGAGACTCAAGTAAAGTCAGTATGTTTTCAAAACAAAGAATATGCATCATCCAACTGGTTGAGATAATAGTCTATCTCTGGATATACAGGAAACAATACAAGAGGACTCCAAATAAGCTTTCACCAGTCACATGAGAAACTAGTTTCACAAACATTTTATCCTGCCAATCTAAATTTAGAAGAGAGAGAAGGACTCACAACTTCCAAGTTCCACCAAACCCTGCAGACAAGAGGTCAGAGAGGCTGACAGTGTAAAATCCTTACCACCTTTGCCAGCTGTGGTCACATGTCCATGATCTCCTAGCTGCAACAGTCCTGGGAGCCAGCAGTATCTCAGACAGTGAATTTTCCTGGCTGGCTCACCACACTATGGGGGCTAAAAAAATATTAATACTTTTCCCAACTTCTAAGTTCTTTTTGCTGAGCTAATAATCTAATTAACAGACAGATTAACAGGGGAAAATCAAGTTTTAATATATGCACATGGGGAATTTGTATAAGCATGAAAATTCCAAATACAGTGAGGCAGCATGAGTATATTGACATTTCTAGACAAAAAGAAAAGAGGGGAAGGGTGTTAGATTTCAAAAGTGAGAAATGGCAGCAGTGCTATATACACTACACACACACATGCACACACACACACACACACACACACACACACAGTGGTGTTCTCCAACTGATATTTTAATCACCAAGCAACAAACAGAAAAACAAATAGAAACTGAAACTGGAGAAGTCTGCATTTGTGCTGCCAGTCACTACCAGAACCAATAAATAGAGACGAGGGTTGAATCTTTATGGGTGCTCTATTCAAATGGCTGGTTGTCTGAGGAGATGGTGGTTTAGGCACCCTCAAAAACCATCTTAACATTTCATTTCAAGCTGACCTTTTTATAATGACAAGAAAGGGTGGGTAAGGGTTTTGGAAAAAGGTTAATTGGATAGAGGGGTAGGTAAGAAGTTTGGAAGAAAGGTTAATTGGATTTTCCTAGTACTTTATCTGTTGATGAACAGTTTGACTCAGATACAATCTCCTTGGCTTGCAGAACCGTGGAGCACAAAGGTTGAATTAATTGCTTGTTGACCTCCTGGAGTCACGTGGTCTTGCATTTCAGTTCCTAGAATAACAGCTTTCCACATGCATTAATAACTTAAGGCTATCACCTAAGGCTAAAATCTATAACTCTCTGATTCCCCTATCAAAACTACAATTTTTCTCTTAAGAAAATTGGATTGATTAGGGGACCATGGTCAAGTTCTTCCCTTCTTTGAAGCATTGACATGTACAGCTGAATTGTGTTTCTAGTTGTTTATATTTAGCTCCAGCTCAATAAACCATTTGTTGGCACTGTGTTGGGATCTGATTAGGCTGAGAAATCCTTGTTATATTTTAGTAGGGTCAATTTCATAGATTTTTCTCAAAATATTCTGCAATCCAAAGCCTAATAGAAGTTCATATTACATCTTTATTTCTGTTATTTTCATATAATAATATTATTTGATGTTCTAGGAATTTTTTATTTGGGAAGGGATGTCTAAACTTAGAACTATTTTTCTTGGCTATTATTACTTAAACCTTCACTGCTAGATTGGGACTGTTTTGATGTGGGAAGAGAGCAGGCAGGTAGCATGTTATTTGAATGTTCTTACTTCATGTAAGAACATATTAATATATTTATACTATCAGTGCCCTGCCCATTGGCTTCATACTCCCCGCTTCAATTATATGGAAATTCTGTGGAATGAACAGCAACCCCCAGTACTCAGTCAGTGGCTGGTGGAAGTTAGGGTGTCATTACTCCAGCTCCATCCCTCTGTGAGTGGGGTGATTGTGCGGCCTGTGGCTTTAAGTTCTGGTGATGACTTGCCAGCGCAGCCTTTAGTAGCTGCCCTCCCTTTCCTGCTGCTCCCATACCAGCAATGCCTGAACCTTCCTAGTAAAGTACTTGCAATCAAATCTTTGTCTCACACTAAACTATATCCCTTTGGGAAATACCTAATTTAAAATAAGTCTCTTGCCTTCAAACAGCATTTTAATCTATTATTGTTGGTAGTTAAAAAAATCATTGGTTTTTATTAGTTTAATCCTCTTATAGCAGCAGCAGTCCTCTTTTTATTCACATGGGATTTATTCCAAGATTCCCAACAGAGGCCTGAAACCACAAATAGTACCAAACTGTCTATATGCTATGTTTTTCCTATACATACATACCTATGATAAAGTTTAATTTATAAGTTGGGCATAGTAAGAGATTAAAAACAACTAATAATAAAATAAAACAGCCCTGACTGATATGGTTCAGTGGGTTGGGCATTGTCCTGTAAGGTGAAAAGTTGCTGGTTCAATTCCTGGTCAGGGCACATGCCTGGGCTGCAGGCCAGGTCCCCAGCTGGGGGTGTGTGAGAGGCAACCAATCAATGTATCTCTTGCACATTGATGTTTCTCTCCCCCTTTCTCCTTCCCTTTCACTCTCCAAAAAAATAAATAAATCTTTTAAGAAACAAGACAATCATATTGTAATAAGTTGTGTGAGTGAGGTCTCTGTCTCTGAAAATATCTTATAGTACTGTACTCATCCTTCCTCTTGTGATGTGAGATGATAAAATAAATGCCTGTGTGATGAGATGAAGTGAGGTGACTGACATGGGCATTGTGAGGTAGTGTCAGCTTGCTACTGACCTGATGATACATCAGAAGGAGGGTCATTGCTTTGAGTAATCTTGGATCATTGAGCACTATGGTGTTGATGATTAACTGTCAGGAGTGAACAATGTCCATGGTTGGGGAAA